GCAAAAGAGAGAAAGACAGAATAAGAAAGAGGACAGGACAGAAAGAAGCAGAGAAGCAGTTAGAAAGGGACAAAGAAGAGAGAAAATGAGTGAGGGAGAGAATAGCAAGGAGAGAGAGAGAGAGAGAGAGAGAGAGAGAGAGAGAGAGGAAGACAGGAGAGAGGGAGAGAGAAACCTTAGTAATAAGAGGACTAATATAAGTGGTTGATATAATCATTTAGAGTTATGGGTGTACCTATGCATTGTGACATTATGACATCATGATATAACAATGCAAAACAATAGGCATTGTGGAGAATGGACAGTCTGTTAATTATGCTGTCTAATGCAGCTGCATTGTTTGCAACAACCAGCACCAATCAACACCCCACTCCAACCCTCCTCCTGCCTCCCAGCTGTAGTGTCCTTAGAAACATGATCACAGTCATCATTTCTCATTGTTTTTATTCAAAATATCATGAGAAAATATTTGATTCAGCATTATGAACCAAATCAAATTGTGGGCTAAGTGTATCATTACAGCCCTATTTATAGACATTCATGCAATAATCTGCAGCACAATACTACTACTACAGTAAATAAGGCTATATACGAGTAGGTATCAAATGCTCAGTCAGAGAGCCCAACCAGACTAGCCAACCAGACTGACATAAGACAGAACACAGGATCAGTCTCTCTCTCTTGCTTGCTCGCTCTAAAGTGGAGTTAATCTTGGCTGGCTGAGATGGAGGAGTGAAATGGCACTCGTCAAACCTTCATCGCCTGATGGAGTTCCAGCCAGGCTCGGGTGCCAAGTCGCTCCTGCATGCACAGGCCTTATCGTTCCTCTCTCACTAACCTCTCTGCACTAGCGACCCAAGCAACGCCAACATCTGCCTGTCTGCTGTTCCAGACACCCACTCCAGCACTTCCGCCGAGACGCAGCAGCAGTGCCAGCAAGCACTAGTCATGTAGAAGCACTTGGCCAAAGGACAACACTTATTACATATCCTCAAAACTCAGGTTTGGGTACATATTTCATACCCTCTCTCCATGTTGATGGTTGAATGGAGGTGGCTAATGAAACGGTGTGTGGTTTGACTAGCTCGATTATGAACACAAATATGAATTAAAACAGTGTTTGCATAAAATAAGCAATTTCCCATGGTCAGATTGTGATTTCCTCAACGATCAAAGGCAGAACCGAAGCAGTACACGAAATTGCTCCTGAAGTTTTTATTGTGTAAAAACATAATAGATTTAATTTATATTAAAGTTTCTGATAAATGTGACACTTGGCAGAAAAACATAGTTCCTCTTGTAAAAACATGCAGCAAAACTGTTGTAGGCTTATGCTACATTAACATAATAAAATGGTGCCTAATTATTTCATCAAACACAGGCCCAGGATTTTGGGAAATAATACCATGTACTGTAAACCGACTTCTTTTCTGCATGGCACCCACTTTCAGGAAAAAAAAGAAAATACATACCGGGCAGGAACCTGACATGTAACCCTAACAATGCACACAATTAACCAAGGTCCAGTATTCTGGCCAATGATAACATGGGCGTTAGCTATTGAAAAGAATACGCAGGACTTATAGCAGTGAATATGCTGGGAATAGCAGCGAGTCGGGCTTGCTTATTCATTACCCATGGTGCTTTGTGACAGCCGCATCAATCACTCCTCAGCAGCTGCTGTCCATGTTTGTGAAACGGTTTAAAAAATGCAGCATTCAATGAGGAACGCTGATGCAAAATCGCTATTTGAGTTCCTGCCATCAGTGTTTATGGGAGTGCCTCTTTTCCTTAAATGGGCACAAGGCTGCAGAGAGAGCTGGAGTTCAGAGCGCTTCCCACACACTGCCGTCTCCGAGCAGAGTAAGCTATCCCACTGACTAACTCCACGGGATCTAAAGCCTGTCAAGAACGAGCTGAGAACAGGAGCAAAAGCAGCTGTCAACAGCAGGCGGCTATAAGCTCGTAAAGGCCCCTCGAATATTGTACTCATATTCAGTGCAGCTGAAAAACCGGCTCTAAACTGTCTCTTACTGATCAAGTATTACAATATATGATGGTGTCAGTAAAGAAACAGGTATTACAGTAGAGACATTAAACAGAACTGTATGGGTGGCTGTTTCACTACATTTGCACAGTTTATGAACATCTGTCAGTTACATAGTTAACTGCTGCACATGAGCCATAATAAAATGTCAGGTTAACCGAATAAATACAAAATTTCTTTCTGAAAAAATGTCTGTCCAAGTATCAGCACTCATTACAATGAAGCCTTGTTTTGCTAGATTTGTGCTTAGCTGCAGTCTGGGGCTGACACTGATCATATTAGCAATCTACTATCTACTGACTATTTCAAGGATTTTTTTGAGGGACCAGAGTTTTAAAAAAAGGTCAAACAATTCAACTGAATTATGACATAGCAAGTAAATAATTACATATACTTTCAAAGAGTTATTTTTAATTAAAAACCATATATTTTGTTTCCCTGCTTTTTTAAATAAAAGAGTTTGATGTATTGATGTAAACACCGTTTCAAAATGTATGCTTCATTCCCCAGACATAAAAAATAAAGCTGCAAAATTAGTCCAAATTCATTGTTTTTGTGATGTCATAAAACCAGCACATTTAAATATATTTGCCTATTGCAGTTTACCCCCACCCTTTCATGCTAAAGTTATAAGGAGTATTTCAACCCAGATTACTTGTTGAATGAGGCACAAAACAGGGCAGCCAATCAAAAAAGAGGTCATTTATATACATAAGTCTTAAACATACAGTAACAAAAACAGCCTGTTTAATTCTATGGGATAAAAAGAGGTCAACAATGGTCATATACAAATTAATTAGGGCTATGTTTGGTACAGAAGCCCGTACATATAAGTGGACCTTACATGTAAGCCATGTAAGAAAAATCAAAAAAAGATATGGGCCCTTGAATCCATTAATCTTGACAGCCCTTTAGCCCTTTACTATTTAATATCCAAAACCAAATGGACACCTTAAATACAGACCGACTTTTATCATTTGACTCGTCACTGACAAAGCCAGTGTATCATTCCTCCATAAGAAACATTAACAGATGCATGACACCTATACTATGAACACGCGTTTATATATCAGTATAGTAAGTATTACTTCAATAGGGGCAAAATACCAAACCGCACACAGTCAAGTGCAACAAGCATGAAATGACTTCATGAAAAGCCTATGACACACAAAACCTGTGCTGCATAAAGTAGAACTCATGAGGGCTGTTTCCAGCGTTTTAAGAATGGGCTGGGTTGTAAAGGCCACCAGATGTACAGTAACAATGTTAGAGCTGAGAGAAAAAAACAAAAGGCTAACATCTGTGAACACAGCCCACCCAGCAAAGGGAGACATGTAAAGATTATACATGAACATGCAGAATTTACATACCATCATAACTGAAGAAATGTGAATATGGGCTTTTGTATTAAACATATGCTAGATCAAACAGTGAACATGCACGGAACAAATCTGGCATAACTGTTAGCTTTGATGGCATGAATGTCTGTTTAAAGGTCTCATCTGGAATGCAGTAAAGGAAAGCTTAAAGTGATCAGGCTTCAACAGCAAGTCACTGTCTGTGGGACACCTAGCTTTTCAAAATGGTTTTAATACAAATGAGCATGTTTTGGTCAGTTCGCAATAACTTAAAGGGCCCATATCCTACATTTTTCTTATATTTGATTTTTCTCCCTGAGGTCCACTTATGACGTTTGTGTGAACTTATGAACCAGAAACAGTCATACCTCATTTTAACATGACCATTTTCAAACCTCTGTATCTCTCAGAATTAAATAGGCTGTTGCCGTTATTATGCCTGACATATGTAAATGAACTCTGTTCTGTTTGGCTACTCTACATTGTGACTCAATCAAAAAGCAGTCCAGGCTGAAACACTTCTTACAACTTCACTGTGAATGGGTGGGACTAAACCACAGGAGGCATGTATATGTCTTTGTGACATCATGAAAACAGTGTATTAAAAACAGGATGTTTTTCCATCATGGTTTCCTTATATGGACAGTATGGATTGGAGAGTGAATGGTACATTGTAAAACTTCATATCCATACTATGTCAGTACAGTACAGTACAATGAGTTTTTGTATGCTCCTTGAAGATATGAAAGACTACTCAGGTTTATTTTGAGGAAAACAATAAAATATTTGTGAAAATATATGTGACAGTGCTGCATTGGCACTACTGATGTCTAGCGCTCATCGGCACTCAAGCCTTTCAGGTGTTCAAAGCAAAAGAGTACATTTTCATCTTTGCTTTTAACCACAGTAAGGAGACGCTTTGGAGAACATGAAGCCTCTAAATGAAGACTCAAAATATAATCAAAGTGGGGCTGTTTCTTGCATAACTCTTCACATAATTCATGCATCATTTGATCATACATTGGGATGTGAATTTTATCTTAGAGGCTGGCAAATGGAAAAAATATTGCGATGCTTCAAGAATTTTTTACGATGCACAGTTTCTCACAATATATATTTTTTCAGGCATCTTATCAGTTGAAATGAGAAAAAACAGGAGTGTTACATTTTAAAAATACTATCAAAAACTGCAAATGCAATGATTTTTATTCAATATTCCGCATACAGTGTTGCACTAAATCCAGTTAAATCCAGTTGACTATATCCACAATATGTTCAGAAAAGCATACTGTATTGTATTGTGACATATCACGATAACAATATCTATTGTCATACTGCCCAGCCCTATTTTATCTATATTTTGTATATTTGTATGGATGAAGATCCCCAAAGTAGGATGTCGATTAGGTCCCCTCAAACATCCAGAAACAGCCCAAAGTACTAGTTTTATGTTAACGAAACCATGTAACTATGCTGTCTTATGGCTGAATCAGTGCTGCATAAAGCACAAGATGTTCCAAAAATGCTTGTTCTGGCTCTACTGTGGCAGCAGTGTGAAAGGGTGATGCGGCTAGCCTGGGCAAAAATGATGTTACCTCTCTGCTTCCAGCCGCATCTCCTCTCGCTTCTGCCTCCTCAGCTCCCTGCGCCGCTCAAAGTCGTCATCCATGGTTCAGTCCTAGAGGTGCGGCCCTGCGAAAACAGCAACGGTCTGTCAGCTTACCGTAGACAATGATGCAAACACGACCGTGCTCGATTATGTCAAAACCACATATTATGCCACACATTTTGCCATATGGTGCTGAAGGAGGCTTCTGCATTCCGCAGCTTCCCTCCCAGTGAACGTATTAGCTTAACCCCTTTAACAGAGTCACACATTCACATATGCAAGACATTTCCAGCCACTTTTTCTTGCTGGCTTGACATCAAACAGATCACAGTTTATTTTCACACTAGTGCTTTAAAATGGAAAACTGGGGAGGCGGGGGAAGAAAGAAGGAGAGAAAAGAGAGCGAGAGCGCTAGAGCTAGAGAGAAAGTGAGAAAGGCTAAGGAGAGGATGTTAGCACAGGATGTTCACTCAGCCAGGCAGAAAGACCCTCACTAAATATACTTCTGGGTACGTGACCAAAGCGCTGGACCACCCAAGAGCTTCTGGAGTGGGCTTTTGGTCCTGAGGGGCTGCAGTCGGTGTGTGTAGAGGCTGCCATACCTTAGCAATAGCGACGAAAAAGCCTTGGAGCGGTCCGGTTTGCTTTGCTCTCACACCATTCCTTTTCTTTCCCTCTGCACTATGCTTTCTGTCTCAGCACCACTCCAACACAAAGAGCTCCTCTGGCTCAGCCTTTCTCTCCAGCTGCAGCTCCACCAGAAAAGGCAAAAAAGCCAGCCTCTTCCGTTCCCCTCCGTTCGCCCTCCCTCTCTTCCTCTCTTTATCTCTCTCTCTCTCTCTCTCTCTCTCTTTCTCTATCCCTCCCTCTCTGGGCGCAGACAGTACGGGCCTCCCTTCTAACCCTCCCTTTCCTTCTTTTTCTCGCTCTCTAATTCTCCCTTCACTCCTCCCTTCCCCGCTTATTCTCCTTCCATTTCTCTCTCTCTCTCTTTCCTTTTGCGATTCCCCGAGGCTTTGTGCTGTCCCTTTCTGCCCCTGTGAAAGTGAAATATATTTGAATGTGTTGTCAGTATATTCCAATACATAAATATAATATATTGTATGGGTCTCTGTCTGTCGCTCTCTTTCTGTCTATTCTCTCTCTACCTCCTGCTCTCTTTGTCTTTGTCTCTCTCTCTTTCTCTCTGTTCTCTCTCTCTACTTCTTGCTCTCTTTCTCTGTTCTCTCTCTCTCACTCTCTTTCTCGCTCTTCTTACTCTCTGCTCTCTCTTACTCTGTCGTCTCTCACTCTTTTTCAGTCTTCTTTTTTCTCTCTTGCTCTTTCTCTCTCTTGCTTTCTCTTCTTCCTATGCCTCCTGCTCTCCTTCCCTTTCATTCGTCCTCTTCCCTCACTCTCTTTTTTTGTTGCTCTCTCACACACTCTCCCTGTCTCTCTCTGATTTTCTCTATTGCTGTCTGTTTCTCTCTCTCTCTCTCTCTTTCCCTCTCCCTCTCTCTCTCTCTGCCTCTTCCTCTCTCTCTATTTTGTGTTTACAGAGCTGTCCTGGGTTAGCCGGGCCTCAGCCTGGACGTAATGTGTATTTAAAATGCAAAACTCTTGCTCAGGGTTTCCTGTTCAGCATTGTGAAGGCCTGTCTGGACTGCTCTCCACTGCTGCAGAAAGAAAGAAAGAGAGAGAGAGAAGCTTCCATATCGCTCTGAACCGCTGGCTCATCTGGACCCGCATTCACACACCGCAGGAATTCCTTCCTATCTTTGGCCAGATCGGCTGTTTTGCAGCATGACTGAGCCTCATATTTGGACCCTTAGTGTCACTGCTGCGCAAACACCACTCACTCAGCTCTATAAAATTGTCACGTTCCATAAACGGCTTAATCAAATCACACTGTTGATGCAGACGACAGTTGTTAAATCAACAACAGAGTACCACCATGCACTGCTTAACATATTTTGTTAGTAATTTGTAGCTCTGTGAGTGTCTATGAGTGTCAGTGTTAGAAATGATGAAATGGGACTGTTAGAGTTACGGTTGTCACAATACCATCTTGACTTTGAGTCCCATATCAAGTGCCGACAAATGCTTGTGTTGCTTGAATGATGTCACCTACTGCAGCCACATAGCGATAGTAATATATTTTAGCAAATGCTAATGCCGTTTGAATAACTGTTCACATTCCTAGTCTTCCCCAGTTGTACAAAAGTTTATCTTTACCTTTAATTTGACTTTCTACACAGATTCAAAATTCGACCTCTGTCAGAAAATAAAAGCTTAAAAACAAAACATAGACTTGGAGTTGTTTGTATTGCCAGGGCAATGTTAATTTGGCGTTAGCTTATTTAGGTAATGAATGGAAAGTATATAAGGTTAGATTACTGAATTGTTGCTGTAGTTTTGGAAAAAAGCATTGAATTTTACATCATGCAACACTAGTTAGATGGTCTAAGTCCCATGTGTCAAACACAAGTCAGGCCTGTGACACACTCCTATTCAACCCGCAAAATTACTCTAATTTTCTATTCTTATTGGCCCCTTTCCCCCTGAGACGCACTACAGTCCCCAGCATGCACTGCAACACAGTGAGCGTTCTCACCCCCTTCCCCCAACAACAATCTATGGGCCAGCGGTTGCACAAAAAGAAAAGATGCCTGGTGTCTAGTTCAAGCAAAGAGGCAGTTTTAAAAAAAAACTACCTAAAACTATTTATTTTTATTTAGAATTAGAATTAATTAAATAAGTATTCAGTACCTATTTTGCTGTTGCAGTTTTGGCATATTTTGAATAAACAATGGCCCATTTGGGTCATGGCAAAATATTGAGTAAAAATGAAATTAAATCAAAGTTAACCCACGGATTTGCTGAGATTTTTTTAATATGGCCCTTTTAGTGGTTGAGTTTCACACCCCTGGTCTTAGTGTATTTAAGTGTCCTGATGCCTTGTAGTGTCTTGGCTTATGTGTCACTGTGTTCTCTGTATGAGGCAGTGCTCTCTGTATGAGGCCACGTCCCTTTCCAAACATTCCTTCCTCAGCCTTCAATCAAGAAAAGAAAAAAGAAAGAGAGAGGGAAAAAAAGAAAGTAGAAATAGAACTGTTGTGCCTCTTCCTCCACTGGACCACCCATATGCAGCCTGAGCTAGCATACATGCAGCAGGATAATGGAAGGCCTAGAATTTCCTAGAATTACATCTCTCCGCACCGCTCTTGAAGGGTGTTTGTTAATGGGGGCGGCCACCTTCTGCTGCTGGCCTCGACGTGCCGACCGCCACCGTTCCTCCAGAGAGCGAGGATTAGAATGGCCGTAATCACACATTTACCTAGCAAATTACTACCTCCGTCAGGAGCACTCCACTCAACCCGTTCTTAAGCCCTCTGCAGCACGACTCATGACAAGGCTATCATAAAGAAAGCTTGCATCTGTCTGTGCCATTCTAGGTCACAAATTTGAACTGCAACGGTGTGATGTTAACCTCAGAAGAACCGCACTTAACAACTAGGCCCTTGCTCTTCGCTGCAAGAAATCATAACTAATGCACCAAGGGGCGAGAAACTGTGTGTTTGTCAAATGTGCTTGCAAACAGCAAAGCAGTTCAAGTCTAGACAGGATTAAACTGATGGCTGTTTTAAGCCACACAGTCGGGGCACTTCCTGAGCTGCGGTTATGTGTCCCACACATGCATACAAGTATGTTCACCTAACAGTATGGCTGTATAACATACTGTTTGTTATTATTGTCATGATATTGGCCTTTTCAATAATGATCTAAGGGTGGGCGATATTGCAAAAATACAACATCACAATACTTGAAGACACCTGATACATGATATGAATCATGATAGCTTTTCTGAGGTTTGATAAGAAACAGACAGAATGTACCACCTGTAGTGCCATGTTTAAAACGTATTATCATATGCTCCTATGATTAACTATTACATGAGTACAATGAATTTTGTTCAGTGTTTCGCACAGTGAGCTGCACCAAATCCAATTAAACAGGACTAATTATGCTCCCTTTTTAATAACAAAATGCAGTCCATCAATGTTCTTTAAGTAGTGAAAGTATCCAAGATACGCTCAGAGAAGTATATTGTGATGTTATTTATCACAATACATATTTTGCACCCTTATAAGACACACAGACAACATGCAAATGGGCCCCCCAACCAATCACAATGTCTTTTATTATATGTTTTAGGCATGTTTCTATCAATCAATATGCTCATGTAACCCAACAAAAGTTAATTATTCTGATCAAAGTCATGTAGGCCAATCTTTCACTGTGTCACTGCTGATTTACCAATGTCTTTATACAAGATTGCGAAGGATGTCGCAATATGCTGCAACATAATACTGGTATTTTGCCTATATCAAGCAGTCCTACCACACAGTTAGCTAAACACATTTATCTCTAGGGCATGCATCCTCAACTATTTAAAGAATGTGGCTTCGCTCCAGCCGTGGTCGCAGTGCAGTGACATTGAGGTGAGATTTCCTTGCCTCCCTGCAGAACAAAAAGCAGCCTTCGTGCGGGGAACATTTCCTCATACCCATTAGATAATTGGAAATGTTAATGTCAACAAACTCAGTCTGCACAATTAGCCATTAGCAATTTGTCTGCAGCCTGCTGAGACGGATAGTGAGGCAGAAGTACTCTCCACAGACACAGCCAAGTCTGATGTGATACACAACCCCTACCGCCAAACAGATTAAATAACTAAATGTTTGGACCTACCACCCACTGCTTTCTGGAGCGAGGACTTTCTGGACCACTCGAGCAAGAGGCTAAATTTACTTCCCCAGAAAAAAGCGCAGCACTGCCAACATAAACCGCTGCCCTTATTTGCATGTCTGTCAATAAAGGTCCATTAACACCAAACGGCTTCGCTATCGGAGACGTAGCTAACGCTCTCTCTGCACATGCAGCAGGGCGTCTGGCATCAGGCGTGTTATTGGCCTGCTTTATCTCTCGCCAAGGAGTTCATAAATGGCCATGAAACAGAGGGGCGCAGCATTAAAAGCCGTTTTGCTGTAATGTAAATTTCACGGTACTGTAACTGTGTCTCGCTGAATGTTATTCAGTCTAAACAGAAATGGCCAAAATGAAACAGCCATAAATGCAAAGCCATGCAACTCAGTGGATTTCACAGCCTTATACAGTCCAGAAGTCTGAGACGACTAGTGAAAATGTTTCTATTTTGCATGCTTTTCTAATTTCATACAAAGTTTTTTATTACAAATTAAACTATCAACATAACTATTTGAGTGAAAAGTAGAATTTTAAAATATTTATATTTCAGATTTTCATAGTATTTGGTAAGCTCCCTTTTAAGATAGCATGCACTTGAGCTAATTGGTGCAATATCCTCTGATGAGTAGATCAAACCCACCTGAGAGTTATCTTAACACAAGCTTCAATAGGGGATCAAAAGGGATAAGACTCTCATTTTTCATGCATCTAATATTTCTTCATTTTATTTGTTTTAAAGTATTTAAAGTTCTTCAAAAGTCATTGTTATCCAGGTTTAAACAAAAATAATCCCAGATTTTCAGATTTTCAAACACACCACAGGTTGAAAACCAGGTCACATTTTATTTTGTGGTCCCCTGTATATCTCCAAATGCTACAGTTGCTAACTCAACTATATAAATGCCAAACTATCTGGTGAACATCAGCTAACTATCAACAGTGTTAATGTCCGGATTTGGACTATGGTTAGGGTTAGGTTTAGTTTTAAGGTAATGGAAAAATTTAAGGAACACATGCTGAAACCATTGTGTCCAGTGGTTTCTATTATAAGTGTGCTGAGTCAAC